GCACTGGATGAAAGACATTAGTGTGTTGGGCAGCTCATGGTCTGATTTTCTCCACCTGCCTCTCGCTTTTATCCACCTTTATTTAGTTCTTGTAGGGAAAAAAAAAATAAATCTTTGAGCAATGTATTTACGTTTGGATATTGGAAAACTCTTAATGAGCGCTGATTTAAGATTACAAATGCTTGGGAAACAATTGGTGTATATTAAGATATATATTCCAATATTATGGTTTTGGAATTCATTCTTAAATTAAGTTTTGGTTACTTTTTTGTTGTGTGGTTTTTTTTTTTTCTTTTCTTGTCCAGAGTTACTTGATTGGATGGAAAGAATTTTGGAAAAACAAATGGCTAATGGCTTATATACTGACATTAACTGTTTCCCTGATGGATTGGATTGTCTCGCTGAGTTTTTCCTGCAGGGAGGTAAGAACTGATTCCTGCAGAAACAATCAACATCTGGATTGTGGAAAGTGGCAGGGGAGAAGAACCTGCAAAGGGATAGTCAGCAGGGTGGACATGGTGTGTTGGAGGATTAAGAGATGAGGAGGAGGTGGTTCATTTGTGGTCTCTAATAGCTGGATAACAGAGTGAAACACAGAAAAAATTAGTGGCGATGTTGTCTTGCGAAGGATTGTGTTTGATTCTTAATGTGTGTATTCACTGGTAAAATTAAATTAAAGTTTGCTGCTCTGGTCTGTTAATAGGCAGAGAGTTTAAAGAACACTCACTGCACAGCAGCAATTTTGTCACGCAGGTGAAGAATTATATTCTTAACCTGATTCAGCAGCAGAGTTTATGCAGTGATGTGTAAGTAAAAGGTAATTGTGTAGTTTAACAGCTGCTTTCTGAGCTGAAGCTGTGCTGTGCTCAAAACAAATGTGTTCTGAGGGCAATGTCAGCTTTGTGAAATGGCTCTAAAAGTGCCCTCCTTTATGTAATAATGCAATCTACCAATTGCCTTTCTCTGCTGTGGATTTTCATTAAATTGATTGTTGTGCACTTGCAGTCATTGTTGAGAAAATACTAAGATGGAAAAAGTCCTGGGAAGTGAATGAGGGAGAAATCTTGAACTTTGCTCCTTGTCTAAGTTCTCATGTCAAAACCAGTATGTGTTGTCTTTAGAGAACTTCCAAACCTGTGTTAAGATACTGTGAGTGTTGGTGAGGATGAGGTTGGATGCAGGTGCTGCTATGGGTGACACGCTGTTTAGCTGTTCATGCTCTTCATTCTCTGATCACTGGTCACTGCTGACCTGGATGGACAGAGACATCAGAGACACATGATCTTAAAATGGTGAACAAAAATGTTATTTAAGCTTATAAGCATCTAACTGTGAGAAAAGCTTGTCCTTTTCGTGTTCAAGCCAAATAAATACAACGCAGCTGAAAGAAGTTGATCACCTTGGAGGAAAATTGGGCTTACGACACGGGGAGGTGATTGCAGAATCTTCAGGTGTGATAAGGGATGAGTAGTTTGAACAGGAGCCTCCTACACAAAGCAGTGGCAGAAGGAGTAGTTGAACTGCTGGGATGTGTGAACAAGGGGATAGCAATGAAGAAAGGGGTGTTGTGGTGTTGTTTTGGTTTTTTTTTGATGTTAAGTGTGGCCCAGAGAAGACTGATCCTAAAATCTGAGATTCTGAAACACTTGAAGCAGCTGATTAGTCACAGAAATAACTTGAAGGCTGGCAAGTGTCTTGAAGGCAAGAAACAGATTATTTGCTGTAGTGTTGTGGGGGGGAAAAAATGCAATTACAATTTGAGTCTTGTCAGAGACAGGAATTGCTGAGTAATAAGCAGGCCCCTTAATTATAAAACAAAAAAGAAGTCAGTCTGAAAATTGAAATCAAGCACTTATTTTTAGCACGTGTATTTGTTTTTATTGAAAGTAGCTCACTATTAATTCCTTTCTTGAGACAGACCTTTGCAGAAAATACAAAAATGCCATCTCTTGCCAGCTTGTTATGTCTAGTGAGCAGTGAAGTTAGACTGCTTCTAATTAGTGGCCTGATGAGGCTGTTGAAATGTCAATGTGTGGCTTTTCAAGCAATCTCTCCTCATTTTAACAAGCCACCTGAAGTATAAAATCTCCCTTGCCTGTTTGGTGAGCTGAATGGGGGCAGAGTTACCACCTGAGCACAGCCTTCTTCTATTTTACTGTTGACTTTGTTGATATTTGAATCAGTGCTTTTTTGGCAAACTTGCCTGCAAAGTGTTTGTGCCACCAGTCTTGTGGGAACTCAGTGTCTGATCCACTGGTTTTTGCAGAGTTTGAGAATAAGAAGAATTTTTCGCCCGTTCTTTCTCCTTCAGAACTCTTCCATGATGAAGAAAACGTTAAAAAGTATCAACAGCACGTTGCCTGAAATGGCAAGGTAGGTAATGGTTTAGAAAACATCCTCTCACAGCGAGCAGGGACTTACCCTTTGTGTTCTGCTGTGTGGAATAAGAGTGGCTTCGCCCTAAATTCTTGGTGAGATCGGGTAGCAATGGATGGAGGCTGTATTAGGTTTTTGATTCCTTTTAGTCTGTAAAATATCTCTAGAAGGCACATGATGTGACTCTGTGTGTGACAGATAAGGTTTTTGATGCTGATTCAGTGGGGGTTTTTTGATTCTGCCTGGGTAAGGAAAGAGCTGAGGGAAGGTCTGTGCTGTGTTTTCTCCGAGGTAACCTCTCAGAAATATGGGTAGACACACATGTGCTTGTCTTCTAGTCATGAGGGCCACACAGAAAGATACCTCTTTCTTTATGTCTTCAGATAAATCCATCTTCAGAGTGCTTTTCTTCAGCTTTTTTCTTTCTAAATAGCTATTTAGCTATATATTTATATATATATACATAAACTTTTAGTGTTAAGCTGGAAACGCCACTGGTGAAATTGTAACCAGACACCATGATGCTTTTTGGTAGAGATCTCTTCCTGTGAAATGGGTCATGTATGTGCAGAGTTTATGGAACTCACTGCCCTTGCCTGTTACTTTTTAACTACCAAGTGCCAGGAGAATCAAAGGGGTGTGTGCAAGCCAAGGTGTTGCATTGTGATTGGAGGGTATAAATATGGTCCTGACTTTAAAAAAACTGAAGTGTTAGAATCTCACTGACATCACAAAAAGTGTGAGCTCGTGCTGAGGAGTCTCCACAAGTGTGACTTTTATCTGTGGTTAAAACTGAGATCATGTTTTGTCATTTCCATATAACTTCTTAAAAAACAAACAAACCAACCTAGTTTTCTTTGTATGTCATCCTTTTGCATTTTTAGCAAAGGATGTTATTAAGGATAAGATAAATTTGCCATAAATACATATGGTTTCTTTCCAACAGTGTTCTTCTGCTGCTGGCTGTTCATCTGTCTCTCTTCACCATGTTTGCCATGCTGCTGTTTGCTCGAACAAAGGTAATCGCTTCTATTTCTGCTTGAGTGGATCTTCCTTCTGCATTTTTCCGGTTTGATCCTTAGAGTTGCTTTCTCTGCTTTTGTTGAAACCTTTTATGCTGTTCTGCATCCAAATCTCTTATTACTTTTTTCATTTACGTTATCATTAATCTCTTTTTTTGTTTGTTTTTCTCTTCCTTATCTAGCTGTTTGCTAATTTTCCTCCCCTGTTTTCTCACCTTCCAGTACTGGTACCCCTGGCCGTGCCTTGGTAGGTTTTCACCTGCGTTACTCTGATGGTTTGGTTTCTTATCTCTGGGTTTTCCTCTCATTTTTTTCCTTCCTGCTTCTGAAAAGCAAATTTGAAATGTTGTGGTTAGAATAATATTGTGTTCCAGTGCTCTTGGTATGTTTCCTCTCTCTGAAATTTCCTGTGCCTTAATGTATAATGGTCAGATATTTTGTGTGGGTTTTTTTTTGTTCCTACCTTTTAAGGCCTTCCATAAATGAGTTACCTTGAGCACAGAAATTTCTTGCCTACTTCTCTCACTGATTATGGTCCTCTCCTTAATCTCAGTTTTGCACCTTCATTCCTGCTGCAGTTTGCACTTGAGCCTGCCTCTGGTCTTCCTTGTGGTCAGCAAATTCTTTGAATTCCCTGTTTATGGAATTTCTGAAATCAGAAGCAGAGCTCTGTTTTCCTGCTTTAAGTTGCATTCTGGATCATTGTATTATCTCTGTGTGTCACATCTAATTTCAGTTATGAGCCTTACCAGTGGATGGGAATATAATTTGTATACTTAAACCAGTCAATTTTGAGTACATTTAAGTGAAAAACAACAAATTAGAGAGTGGACTTTCCTATTTTGATGCGCTACTCTGACATCCACACAAACTAATTTCATCTGACAGGGTGAACTACTGAAAGCTAAGTTCTAAAAATACATTTATTAATGAGAGTCATGCCTCTCTCTAAATTTTTGCATTGTCTTATGTCTGTCCTCTAGAGGTGCATTTCCCAGTCTTTGCAGCAGATTCAGGGGCTGTTTGTTCCGTGCTGCATCATTCATGTTTGTGTTGTTTGCACTCTGCAACTTTTTTTATCTGTCTCTGCTTGACCTTGTAGGGGGTGGGGGGAATATGTGGATGGCCCAAGATTATCCTCCCAGTGTGTTTCTGATGAAGATTTTGACACTGGGCTTTAGCAAATCATTTGATGTTTCCCCTGAGCCACAAGATAAGCTGTATGTGATGTTTTCATTGATATTGCACATAGCATTTTAAATCTTCTTCTTTTTTTTCAAAACAGTTGCCTGTTTTCTACTTGCCCAGCAATTCCTGTGCTGTGCATAAATTACTGCCTAAGGGGGTAGCAAGAAGGGGAAAACCCTTGTTTTGCGTAGTGGTAGTAATTTTGGTACAAAAAAACTGATGCAGAGGATTTTAAGTTTTCTATTTGGAAGTCAAAGGGGAAGTGAAAGACACTTTGTGGGTGTGCTGGTAAAGCTGCAGGTTTGGGGTTTTTTTAATATAATATTTGCTTTAAATCATATTTAGGGAGTCATTTTATCTGCAATATAATCTCTTGCAGGCTTAGAGATGATGCTTCCTATATCAATCAAGGGTCATTAAGTCAGTTTGTGACTTAACTTCTGTATTGAGCTCCCTGTTCTTCCTGGTGTTTTTTAATTGCTGTTAATAAGTGAAGTGATTGCTCTGTGTTCCTACATAATGTCTTCATTTTGATGCTTGGTTTGTGCTTTTTTTTTTTTTTTTCCGTGGGGTAGATGTGATTATGTGGGTAACAAATAGGTTATTGACTGACTTTAATCCTTTTTTTCCCCCTCTTTTGGTAAGACAGTGATTCTTCAGTCCTTCTCTTAACCATAATCATTTCTTTGACCAGGATAATCAGCAGGATAAGGAGTGGGTGGTGTATTTCCGGAATCTGCCAGATTCACTGACATCCCTGCTGGTCCTGCTGACTACTGCAAATAATCCTGATGGTAAGCAGGGTTTCACAAACAGCTCTTGTCTCTCCTATCAAAGAACAATAGAGTTAAGGTTACCTGCAGACTACTATAGCTGTTCTTTTAGCTGGTAGCTCTTAGTGCAGCCAGAGGAAGGTTGGGAAAAAGTTTCCTGTGCCTTTAGTAACTTGATTCTTTTCTTTTCTTTGGAGTAATGATATATTGCCACTCTGAAGTGCAGCCTTATAAGAGCTTTTACCAATTGCCAAAAATTGATTGAGGTCTCCACCATGCATCTTAAGCATTAAAATATTTTTCTTTTTTTGTTAATTTTCACGCAGTGATGATTCCTGCATATTCCAAGAATCGAGCATATTCCATCTTCTTCATCCTCTTCACTGTTTTAGGTAAGTTACCTCTTGTCTTCAGTCATGTAAATACACTTTGACACCTGGGCATAACAGCTACAGGGGTTTATTTTTCTAGGGAGGTTTATTCATAAATTTCTCCTTTTTTTTTTGTGTTTCTTCCAATTACTGCGCAGTGTCTCTAAGGTAACTTCCACTTATGACTTGGAGTTTTTGGTAACACGTTACAGGCCGTGAAAACATTTTAGAAACCAAACACGAGAAAACGAATCCCTTTTAAATGATATATTTTTATTTGCTACATTGATTGAAACTTTTTTGATAAATAGGATAGGTATTTCAGTGACTCTCACTGCCTCTTTTTCTCCAACAGGCAACTTGTTTCTGATGAACTTGCTTACAGCAATAATATACAACCAGTTTCGAGGATACCTCCTGGTGAGTAAAGCAACTCTAATTTCTGTGCCCTGCCATAACCTTGAACCTGTGAAATATTAAGTGTCATCTGGGCATTAAAGCAGGAGGCCTGCTCTGGTTGTAAGTTTTAAGATGCTAAATGTTCTTTGATGGAGATACTTTTCCCATTAGATGCTTGATCCCCTTTCCTGACAAAATTACTTGCTCGCTCCTCTTAATGCAGCCCAGGATTCTCATGCCTGTAATTTCCTTGAGGTTTAGTGTCAGGAGAAACTTTGAGTGACTTTGGGTGTGATTTTTTTTTCCCCCCTTATTTAAAAATCTTCTTACAGTTCCTTCATTACTAGCTTCCTCTTTCTTTATATATATATATATTTATATATATATCTATCTTATAGTTCTTTCCCCTTACTTACATAGTTTGATAGCTCCTTCAGCCCTTCAGAGACTTCAAAGTGAAGTTATAGCTGCCTGCTCTAGTAGAGTTCTAGTAGGTTGTTGGCTAGTGAGCCTTGAGCAATGTTACACAGGAAGAATGGCCCCCACTCTCCTGGGGGAGAGGGGTGTTTGAACCTAATATGTGCAAAGAGGATTTTTGATAATCCTCTCCTCCTCCTCTGTTTCTTCCCTTCTTTCTCGATTTTTTTCACTTTCTCACATGAGGGCATGACATAACTTGACTCCCAGCAAAGCAACCGAGTTTTAAAGTGGTTATTGTGGAGGAAAAAAAAAAAAAAAGGCATGAAAAACTGTGGCTCTGGATTTGTGCCTCCAGGGAAGAAGCTGGAGCTGTACAAGCTGTCTCACTCCTCTCTCTGCACAGTAGTGTGAATTTCTGGGAATCCCTGAGCTTTGCCAGTGCCTCTGGAACAGGCATATGCCTTTGCAGTCCAGAATTGAAAATAAATCATGACCTGGATGTTTACTTGGATTCCAGACTTGTCTGCTTGCTTCCTTCCTTCTTCCTTGTACACAGAGTTCTTGGAGGGAGTGAGGCTTAGGGCAGTCCCCTGTTCTGACCTCTAATCACAGATCCAGGAGGTGTGCCAGAGGATCAGTATATTCTGTGGCCACAGGACACGGCAGTGCATGAAGTGTGAGTAAATTGTTTTCTCTGTGGTGTTTTCACTGTTCAGAAATCAGTTCAGTCCTCCCTCTTCAGGAGGCGGCTGGGAATCCGGGCTGCGTTCGAAGTGCTTTCTACCCTGAAAGAGACTCCTGCCAGTGCCCAACAGTAAGTGAGGAATGTTGAAACAGCAGATTATCTAGCAAAAAAAAGTGCATTTTTGGTCACCTTGTTTTGTTTAATTTACTGAGGATGCACTCCTGAATTTTTTTTTTTTTTTTTTAAATTTAACTGAATGTTCATAACACACTATCTGGGACTCTGTTTCCTTTTTACTTCTTCTCCTTCTAATTTTACCTGTTTTGCAAAAAAAGAAAGGCAGGAATGCATTTGGAACAGCTTTTTTTTTTTTTTTTTTTTTTTTTTTTTTTTTTTTTTTTTTTTTTTTTTTTTCTTTTTTTTTCCCATCTATACAGTTATCTGTACCAGGGCCCATTCTGTTTTCTTTTACATAGGTCCTATGTCAGCACTGGGGCCTTACAACAAGTGCTGCAGAAAGCTGAGATGGATTCTCGCTGCAAACAAGCCATCCTGAGGGTAAGAACTAAATTTACTTTTAGCCCTGGTGTTTGTGACTGTCAAACCCTCTGATGTGACAGCTGTTGAAACTGAAATTTCCCTAATTAAACAATTAGGAATAGAAGCTTTCAGCTCAGCTCCTTTATGCTGCTTTCTCAAAGTGTGAACAGAAGCCCAGCTCAGTTGTCTGTTTATGTTTTGGTCTTCAGAATAAAAACTGTCCTTGGACAAGGATTTCACCCTAAAGTTGCTCCTTCTTTGGTTGGTGTGATGAGGGATGCATTCATCTGGAGAGAGGAATGAAAACTGTTTTGCAGAGCTAATTTTTCCACTTGCTTTACTTTTTCTCCCTGAAGAAAGCAAAACCATTTCACATTGTGGCCTAGAGCTGCTCCCTGTTGCAGCATTCCTTGGATCATAACATAATAATGGCACTTCTACAAGACTACAAAATTTAAGTTTGTCCAAAGTGCATGCGGTTCCAGAGAGGGGAAAACAGAGATCCTCCAGTCACATGGCAGTGTTGTGTTTAAAGCAAAGCAATATTGAACCTTACTCTTAATAGTTTGGAGTAGCTTGCTTAAGATCTCTATTCCCAGTCTTTTAAAGGTTGTCTGAGGGTTTTGGCACTTTTTGCAGACGCACCTATTGCAGATTCTGATCTGAATGTCTCTCTTTCATGTGAAGTCGCTCAAAATGTGCTCCTGTGACCAGCTGTCAGCTGCCCAGTTCCAGAAGCTCTTTGAAGAACTAGACAAAGATGCCATTAAGCAAGTATGTATCTGACCACTGTTTATAAGACATCAGAAGTTGTCTGGTCTTGTGCAAAAAATTAGTGATGTTGCTCCTCTGTGAAGTGTGTAAACAAACTTTGCAACATGTGAACACAAGGTGCAGTCATATGGTGTTGATTCTGAAGTTGTTTGTAACCAAGACCTCTGAATTAAACGTTGGGAAATGGGGAAGGAATGGGTCCAATGAATACTTTGGTGTTTAGTTTACCTGCTTGGGGCATTGGAGAGGGGTTGGACTATCTCCCTTCTCTGCCATTACTTTGTGTTGTGCCATAATCAGAAATGAACTCTAGCTGTGAATTAGCCACAGCTTGAAAGTATTTTCCAGCTGAAGTGTCAGAATTAGCCTGCGGTCCTGAAGTTTTGCTTTGAAAATGTCTGGCTTCTTTTAAAATCTGAGATTGGGTGTGGGGTTTTATTATTTTATTGCTATTGAAATGCTCGTGCTTTGATTCTCAGCAAATCCTTTGTGTTCTTTTCAGCATCCTCCCAGTCCAGAGTACCAGTCCCATTTTATGCAGAAATTGCAGTTTGCCTTTGGCCATCCCTACTTTGGCTACTTGGGGAATGTGGTAGCCCTTGCAAACATTATTTCTATCTGTGTAAGTAAAAAGGGGTTTTTTGTTGTGGGATGGTGGGTTTTTTTTGGTTGGTGTTTGTTTGTTTGTTTTGCTCTGCTACAAACCTGAGTTCTGTTTTTGTTCTTTAGTCTCTCTTTAAACAACCATTTTTTGTAGCAGATGGCAGGTTTTTGGCATACTTTAGTCATGTATAGGTGTAAGTTGAGAGGGAATACCTGCATTAAAAATATATTCTCAGCTGCTTGAAAAAGGTCTATGCAAAGCATGAAGGGCTGTTCCTATGCTTAAAAATATGTTTTATGTAGCAGTGAAGCAGTGGATTCATAAAATATTTCTTGTTTAAGGTGGTTTTGGTGATGGATGCAGATAAACAACCTTCTGAAAGAGATGACTTTTTCCTGGGGGTAAGATGCAGTAGTATTCCTACAGTTCTTGCTGTTCCCTGAGATGTCAGTAATTCTAATGATTGCTTTTATTTTGGGGGTGGTGAAGGCCATCAACTGCTTCTTCATCCTGTACTATCTGCTGGAAATGTTGCTGAAAATCTTAGCAATGGGCTTGAGAAGATACCTGTCTTACCCAAGCAATAGATTTGATGGACTTCTGACTGTAATTTTGCTGGTAAGTGTTTTATCAACTTCTGCGCTCTTGGATTTGTTGGCTGGGGAGGTTGGGAACTACAAGAGCTTGTGGGATTGCTTTTTCTTCAACACTAACAGGCTAAGCTTAACAATATGAGCAGTCAAGTGTTGTGGTTTTCAGTGGCTTGAAAGTTTTGGTGGTGCATAGTTCCTTTAGGGTCGGATTTCTGAAGGTAGGCTTATTTAAATCCATGGGAAAAGTGAGTTTTCTTATGAGAAGTCTTTGTATTGCTATTTGGAAACATTCAGCCCTTGAAATAATTGCATAAGGAGTTCTGTTCTGCAGCTAAGGTCGCCTTTTTCTTTCAGTAAAAAGGCAAGTTATTGTAATAGCTACTTGGTAAAAGCCTGAAGCCCATGTGGCGTATGAGGCCAAATTCATGGTTAATGGTACTGCAAATCCTTGTATGTGTCACTATTGAATGGCCTATGTACATCAAGATAATTTGTGGAATAACTGGGCAAATATGACAATTCAGAGCTTTAAAGTGAGTCATATTAGCAGCTTAATGCTCTTAAAAATGTTTCCTGTCAAGAAGCTTACAGAATTTCTGGAACTCAAAATTACAAAGTGAAGTTTTGACTTTTTATTTTTTTTTTCCCTCTCTTTCTTTCCTAACTAAAGATTTTGGAGATTTCAACTTTTGCTGTGTATGGATTTCCTCATCCTGGCTGGTAGGTGACCTCTGTGAACTGCTGCACTTTGCTCAGTGACTGGGCTGGGTCCATGCTGTAAAATTTAGTAGAGAAATGCCCATGGACTTACACTATTTGTCAATACTGGAATACCAAGCAGTATAGACAGTTTGGATAACTCTCCTGAGCTTTTTTTGGTTACAAAAAACATCTTAATTTACATTGTTATCTCTGCAGAGACCTGGTAGACCTTATGGTTTGAAAAGGGTTTATATTTGAACACTACTAATAACAACACTACAAAAAAAAGTGATGGCTGGCAGAAAAGTAATTGCTACAGTCTAATGGCATTAATTATTCTCTTAGAATTGATTATGTTTGGGTTTGATTTTGCCCTGTGATTCTGAAATGCAGATGATTTTTTGCTGTGCATCTTGGAGCACCAGTGACACTTGTTAGGTCTTTGTGTCAGTCACAGCAAACAGATTATAACACAGAGGAGTCACTGGTGAGTGTGTGCTGTTGGTAATTGCTTGGTGTGCAGATGTAATACCTTCAGGACAGTGGTGTGACTGTTATCTGGAATATGTGTTCTGTGCAGTGCTGTCTTGAATAATTTCTTTCGCCGAGGTGTACTCTAAAGAGCACTCTCTGCATATTTAAGAGCCCAGGCTTAATGGGTTGCTTCCTGCAACAGCTAAGGGTGAGATTCCTGCTAAGCAAATGAATGTACTTGCAGTTACCTGTAGCCCAGTAGGTTAAACTGTGTCTTTCTATCGTGAGCTGTTCCTCTGATTGGTTATCTTCTCCCATCTTTCCTAGGAGACCCGAGTTCATGGGCTTATTATCCCTGTGGGATATGGTGCGATTGGTGAACATGCTGATCGTGTTCCGCTTTCTGAGGATCATCCCCAACATGAAGGTGATTGCTTATTCCCCCCACAACTCTGTTTTCTTTGTTGGTCACGTTATAAACTTTGTTCCAGCCTTTCAGAATAACATACAGATAGCAGTTCTTTTGCCCATGAGTGGGGTTACAGCTCAGCTCTGACTATCCTGACTGTTGCACAGCAGTTCACAATCTCACTGTCCCTAGGGCTGGTTTTCTCTGTTGAGGCAGCAGAGAAGTTCTGTTGGTGTGATGGGAGTTGATCCTGGTATTCCAGGGCAAACTTATCCAGAAAGTTTTCTTGTGTGGTGCTTCAGTCTTAATTAGGATGAGTGGCTGGGATATCCTGGAAGAACTTTGTACTCAGGAATTGTTAGAATTGCTTTCACCAGATACTGCAAGACATTTGGTAAGGCAAAGGGTTTTATGGGACAAATCCCTCTCCACTTTCCCAGCATGGGTATTTCCACCACAATGCACATACTTGAATCAGAAATCTCTTTGATTGTTTGTTATAATCCTGCAATTACTTGCTTAAAAGCTAAGCCCAAATTAATGTCGGGTGCAGCATTTATATCTTACTTCAGTAAGCCATAAATACCTACCTGATGTAATCAAAGGTCATGGTGTCAGTGGGAAGTGTAAAATAGGAATTATGGGGGTCAAATATGAAGCAGTCACCTTGGAGCTGTGGGATGCTTGTGCTTTGCTTGCCTCCCATTCTTTCTAGTCTCACTAGACAAACATTCCTTTAGGTTACAGTGGCTGTGTATATTTAAGACTTATAACGATGTCTGTCTGTGAAAAAGATTCCTTCATTCATTTTAAATAAATCATGGAACTATCTCTGCATCAGAGATGTCCTACCTTTAGACATAGTTCACTTTCCCCCTTGGTATTTCTTCGTCCTTTCAGTAAAAATAATTTGATACAGAACAGAAGTGGGATGAATGTCATACACAGAGAATTCTGCTTTGTTTCAGTTCATGGCTTTGGTTGTCACTACATTGCTGGATCTGGTAAAAAACTTAAGAGCCTTTGCAGGGATCCTTGTGGTAAGTCACAATGCCAGATTGTCATTTGCTTTGTTATAGTTAGCAGTCTAACAAGGATACGTTGCCAACAAAGTAGACAAGTTTATTGTACGTTCACCACGATCAGTAACATTTCACCTTAATCAGCCAGTTCCTCTCTGGGGCAACCTGCTGTTTTTTTAATGGCCTGTGCACAGTGACAGTGCCTCTTTCATGAGGAGGATCTTTAAAAGAGGGACTGAATCTTCCTTAGAGTGCTTGCCTCAGGCTGGATACTCTGGCTTCAAGTAAAAATTCATCCCTGCTAAAAGTAGACCAATTTTCATTACCCTGATTTGCTTATTAATACATGCTTATTAAATGGCAGAACCACTTGAAAATTGTTTCTCAGCTCGAGAAGGTCTTGAGATGGCATGTTTGGACACGACTTTTAAAAGCCTCCTGCCACCCTGTTTTGGGTGTGCCTGTGTGGAGCATGTGCTCTGTAACCGTGTGATTAGAGGGTGGGTCACAATGCGTGATGCCCATTACATAAATCCTCCCAACTCTGGAGTTTCTGGCTTTGCCACGACGTCTTCCTGGCAGAGCAAAGAAGTGCCTGGGTAGGTTTTGGTTAGTTATTGTTCATGGGGTTTTTTTTAAGATACCTTATTTTGAGGTAGCAGTTAGAGGCCAATGATTTGTTGTTCTAGTCTATACATTTAGCATGCAATTTAACCAGAATGTCTGGTTTTGCTATTAATAATCTCTACTTTTATCTGTAGAGAAGGGGCCTTAGGTTGGTGTGTGTTACAACTTGAAATAAAGATGTTGGCTGG